GAATCCACTTATGCTTCGCATCAAGTGCGGTATCAAGCAAGGATACGATCTCAAGCGAAACCAGCCCTACCACCCACACTGTGCCATGGCCGGACTGGAGACGCCATGCTGGTTCCGTTGGCAAGCTTCTTCCAAACCTTGAGGCTAAATATATGACTTCCCCTGAGGATGACTCCGAACCTCAGGAAGTACCTGTGGGCCAGGTGGGAGAGCTCTACGTACGGGGACCAAATGTGTTCATGGGATACCTGGATAATCCCGCGGCCACCGCCGCTTGTGTTTCGCCAGACGGCTGGTTCCGTACCGGTGACGTCGGATATCAAGACGCAGAAGGCTTCTTTTATATCACCGATCGCGTCAAAGAATTGATCAAATACAAAGGATTCCAAGTCGCACCAGCGGAGCTGGAAGGCATCCTTACAGACCACGAAGCGGTCTCGGATGCAGCGGTTATTGGTATTGAAAGTGCCGAGCACGGTACTGAGGTTCCTCGCGCCTATATTGTCCCCAATCCTAATATCATTCCGCGAGAAAAGCGCACGGCGGAGGAAGGGGAGAAAATCTGCCAGTGGCTTCAGGCGAAGGTTGCTCCATATAAACGATTACGCGGGGGAGTCCGGTTCGTGGATGAAATTCCAAAGAGCGTTAGCGGAAAGATTCTGCGAAGGCTTTTGAAGGAGCAAGCGAAGAAAGAGGAGGCTCCAGTAAAAGCGAAATTGTGAAGAGCCTTCCTTTGGGGTATTTTATATGATAGCTTGTTGTGCTTCGCACCTTAAGCGGGGTTTCAGTTACATGGCTATATGTAAGCCAAAGCTAAGCAAGGCATGTACTCGTATATATTACTTCCTGTCTTCAGTCTTGAATAGCAGATATTATACTTAAACCAAACATTCCATATCTCAAACAGCTGGAATTGGTACCTGGCGGGCCAAGTTGCGCTTGATTACTCAGCAGACAAACAAGCCAAACATTCAGTTCTTGGCCCCAACGTCAAGTCCGCGACTCTTCAACGCCAAACATCCAAAGTTTCTAGGAATTATGCGGAAAATCAACAAAAGGATCAGATTGCCCTAGTTGATCCGATAACCATAGCTAGCGACGTATCCATATACGCTCGATGCAGCCATAATTCCCTGAATGAGAAAAGTTTATCAATTGGCTGGCTAGGCAGCTCTCGGGATGCTCAAAGTTCTAAGGTGGCCCTTTTTATATCCATGGATAGAATAACCAAAAATCCAATAAACCAAACGTGGAAACTCTCCTTCCACAGCTTGAGAAATTATATATTCTCATTTTCTCATGAGCGTCCATTTGACTCCTTTTTCATTTGCTGCTTTTTACTCCCATTTGGTATCAATACCTGAAGCGTCCGGCTCGGGGGGATTTCAGTTCTTGAAATCATCTCCTTGCTGGGGAGGGTTTCTCAAGAAGCTGCTTGAGAAGTTCAGCCTGCTTTTCTTCATTTTGATGCCTCATTTTCCACGAGTTTGCCATAAGCTGAAGGCAGCATGACTTAGAGGCCAGTACATGTATTGGAGGACAAAGAGCCAGTAACTTATGGTGTAAACAAGATCTGAAATTCACATAGTGCATACTGATGCTTACGAAATTCCTTTCTAGCGCGTTCTGTTGTTTTGATTGCAAAAGACATTTCGCTAGCGCCACCTAGCTCTAGGTTCCTGTTATTATTCTTTTTCTGTTTCTCTTTTCACTATCTCACATCGCCGCAGCGACCATCCGCATTCTCCAAACTTCCCACACTGAACCCCGCGGGGAAGAGATTCCGGAAGGCTCCTCTCTATTAACAATCATCTCAACTTCGGCTAGAGGTATGTCATTACGCGTTGCTGCCCTTTTGAGTGGTGATCTCTATCAAAAAATGTGAAAATGAATGAGAGCAGTCAACCTCCACCAACATGTCATATCCTGCTCCTCTATAATCATGGGAGGTTGAACAAGCTATAGCTAACACTTATTTTGGGCAGATTTGCTCTCATCGCTATTAATGTAGTGAGAATGAGTGATCTACTTCCAGAATGCTGCTTCGAAATGCCGGGCAGCTCTCTCCCACCTGATTTCATAAACTCTTTAAAGGTTCCTGCATCTAGCAATACAGAAGTGGGATGCGAAGCCGAGGATGACGATGGTCCAGCTCAAACGACGTCCAAATTGGTTGAGGATGGCTCCGTTGGCTCTTCGACTCAAGCCAAGTCCAACGTCGATAAAGAGTTAGGACGCCAGGTCTCAGTAGTGTCAAAGGAAAGAAAGCTAGCAAGGTCCAAACTGACTCTGGTCGCCTTGGTTAAACGGCTTGCCGCTATTAATCGACCATTAAGCAAACAGGAGGTGGTCAAAACCGGTAATACAAAACCGAGTCTGAATTTGCTTGACATGCCGATGGACATTTTGGTGATTGTTCTCGACAACTTGGAATTTGCCGACGTCGAAATTCTTCGATACGTCTGCAGAACGTTCTATTATAACATTGAACCGCTCCATCTCCACCCCATGTTGCACGGTCGCTGCATGATTGTGAAAGTTTTCCGCCGCTTGTACAGTTCGTCCCTGTTGCCCAACGTTCGCGAAGGTGATCGACTTCTCACCAAAGACGAAATCAAAGAAAAGCTCCAAGTGGCCTGCCCCCTATGTCTTTATGTCTGGCCTCACGGCTCTCGACTTCGCTGCCCTTTCCATGAACCCATGGAATACGCTGCACCACCGCCAATTTTTAGCCCTCGCAAACCTTGGAATTACTTTCGCCCGTCTCATTTCCGCTGGGCAAAGGCAGTTAGAACCCGCCGGACACAAGAGACATACGAAAGATTCCTTATTGAAGGCATTGAGAGTGATCTGAGAAGTGTAAGACCACGTGCAGTCAGACCCGGAATCGACCCTTATCCCGGCGAATATTCGCGCTCTTGGCTCCGTTATCTCAAAGTTATCGAAGACTTCCGTGCTACTATCGGAACGTACTATGGGAAAGAATTTATCGTGAAATCCTTTTGGGGGGTCAAAAGAGTAACTCAGCCAGAAATCTTCAAGCTGTACTGCTGCAACCATTGCCGTGAGTTATTGCCAATGAATAATCCCGGGAGAATGTGCAGAAACTGCTATTGTGGATTTTGCGGCACGACTGTCCTCGAGATTCTCCGGGTTATCAAGGATCAGAGAGCAGTGTTTGTCCCCTTGGGTATCCTTGTCGATGAAACGATTGGCAAAGCCGACGAGAAGCAGAAAAAATTGAAAACAAAAGAAGGAAACTAGGGAGAAGTGAATAACTCGGCTATGCGATACTCGTCTGGCTAAGCAGTGCACAACAAGTGATAATTTCAAGTTGGGGGGAGGACAGACAGCAGAGAAGATTTTTATGAGCGCCAGGGGACGGCTGTTTTTCTTTCAAAAACACCGTCTAAACGAAGCCGATGACGAAAGGTGGAAATTCAAAAGCCAAAAGCTAGCAGGTGGACTATTAGCTTTCAGAATGCTTTTTCGTTCTTGGCAAGGTTTTAATAATATTATTACTGAAATGGGGCAAGAAAACGGGAAGAAAAAGAAGAAAAAACCAAAAAAAAAAAAAAAAACTGGAAACCCCTATGACCTTTAATCACCAAATTGCTACATTATTTCCTTTGTTGGTTTGAACTTTTTTTTAATCTTCTTGATCAAGGACACTTCCGCGATCTCTCTTTATTTCAGTCAGGTTGAGTGGTCAGTTCATACTTGGATTGTTAATGTTAACTAATCTTCCAAATTCGTTTGGTAATAGTTTTAAATCCAAATGAAATACCCTCTGTGCTGCCATCCTTCGTTGCTAATGCTTCATACAAGTAAACTAAGATTTGATCGCAGAGTTTCTGTTTCCGCTTGGAAACCTCAACTAAGGAACTAAGACACATAGTCCAAAAGTCCATATATATTCGTTGTATCAAATATGTAAAATAAATATCTACTACTGTCCAAATATATCAATTATGTCAAAACAGGCCGGAAAAGTCATGGTCATAGCCGAGGGGTTGCCAGGGAAAGGAGTCGAGTCCGTAGATGTAGTTGTGCGTACGTTGGTTCGTAACCGCATCGGAAATCAATCGTTGTTGCGTGACGTCCCAAATGTACCCCATAATGAAAACCCTGCATTTCCAATCGAGCTTCCTCTAACCTGAATTCTACCCGTCAACTTCCTTCGCAACTTCTGCCAACGCTCTAGGCCTCGTAATTCGTTTAAACAGGACAGCGCTTGTTGAGTGGGACCTCAGCACACAAGTAAGGTGGCGGCTGAGTGTAATCCTTGCAAAGGACGTTGCATTCGGTCTTTTCGTGAGTGAAAACCAAAAACTCGTAGTTCTTGAATGGTAGACGGAACTGTCTGGCGTCGTTTCCTGCGAATGCTTTGTATCCCGCTCGGCATGCGCAGTGGAAGTTCTTCCCAGTGCTAATGCATGATGTGGTTGGGTCGCAGTTGTTTTGGCCGGAGATCGGGTTGCAGGTTGGGCAAATTGGTGGGGAGAGAGCGAGAGTAGTGGTCGCTAGGAGGAAAAGGGCACCGAGAGTCTTGAAGGTATGCATTTTGCTTGATGTAGGTCGAGGTCAAACCCGAAATCTAATATATCAAATCAATGGATGACCTGCTGGATAATTTTGTGCTGGAATGAAGGGATGGAAAAGAGGGGATATAGGAGGGACTCCCAGCTTTTTATATCTTTCGAGCTCACTCTAGAACCCAAGCCAGGCAAACAGACTCGGCAGGCTCGCTTGTTCAAGGCAGTGCGGATCAGGATTCCGTTCCGTTCAGCTGAGCAGCAGCTTTGGAATTCCTGGCACCCTCCATGGTAGTTCCAGCTTCTGGGAATGCTCCGGATCTAAAAAAAGGACAACAGAATACGGTGGAAGCCACAAGGTCGATGCTTCAAGGTGGGCCCTCGACCAAAGGGAAAACCTGATTTGTTAGATCTAAGACACGCGAAAGGACAGTGAACATACCTTCTCCAGCTGCATTGACAAACGCTAAAGCGGAGAGACCGGGCAAAGCTTGTTTACTCGATCTTGGTTGTTTCTAAGGAATCAGGAGGAAACTGACCCGAGCTTGACCGCTCCTTCCAAGCCAAATGTCTCAGACTTTCAACATCCAAAAGTTTCATAACATCAAAGTCACGAAGATACTCCGTACAAATGGAAAGCTTGAGAGTTAGAAGAGGCATGTGTGGAGAACGGCTTGTCCATCAATGGCAACTAGTCTCGAAATGCCGTTGAAACGGAACCTCGTGGCCGAGTGTGAGTTACACCAACGTTAAGGCATGGCAATTGATCTCGAGCAACGGTTGAAAATTGAGAACCAATCCTCAAAACGGTCAGCTGCGCGAGTAAGCAGCCACTTTGTCGATCCAGGACATGCGTTTTTCACACGCCTCGTTATTAGCTAGGTTTCTCATCACATTCTGCCCTGCAGGCATGGCTGGCCTGGCTTCAATCACACTAGCAGTCTCCGCATCAAGAGTGGCATTCTCCAGATCAGAAAACAGCCCACTGATAAGTAAGTCGGAAACAAATGATGCCCGTGACCATGAAAGCGATCGGTGACGGAAACTAGGTTTCACCGTGTGGTGGCATGAGCAGAGTTCGGGAGTAGTTGTCCGTGAGACCTCAGCGATGAAGGTTTGGCTGGCTACTCTGTACAGGCTCCAGCATCTCGTTTGCCAGTAAGGCTGAATGAGGTCATTCTCCGGGAGGTGGGGGGTCTGACCAGGTTCATCGAGAAAGCCAAATGGCCAGAGCTGCAGCGATACGATCGAGCAAGTGAGACAGACAGAGTGACAAGTCACGATGTGATGCCGGCGTGAGGATGCGAGAAGCGAAAGCCAGCGAGGATGTAACTTACATATACGACGGATGTCTCAACGCCGGCGAGCTGGATGAGGGGAAGTTGAAAGAAGCTCAGCCGCGCTAGCTGGATGCGGCTTAGCCTGACCCACCAAGTCTATATTTAGAAAGTGCATATCTCACAGCCAATCAGAGTTCAAGGCTCAGCAATTCTCAAGTTGGGAGCTTGTGATTGGCAGACATGGTGCCTGAAATTCGACCAATCGGAAACTGTCTATGACGTGGTGAAGCTTGGCCGTCAGGATCTCGATTTCCTCTCTATCAACGAAAATGTGAAATGGACTTGATATCAATGATGGATTTAGCGATTTGCGATGATATTTTAACGTCAGCGCCTATAAACATGATTGGCCAGATCCGCGGTTACCAAACGTCTATGTTTTGGTTGTCCTGCTCCGGAGACGGCCTTTTTTAAAACGGAAAAATATTACACGAGTTCGAACGGACCCTCCCTGACACCAAATTATGCCAGACTCTTCATGCTTTCTTATTTTCTGGTAAATGTTTCACAGCTCTCCGGAGGCGTTGACGAGCAGTAAGGATACAACCCACCCTGAGGAGTCTGCGGACTTCATCCCAGCGCAGGGTCAGTGCTTTTTGGTCGCGAAGGTTTTCGGTGCCAATCAAATCTGCCATCGTGAGATTAAGCTCCGGGTATCTTTCAATGACTGGTCCAGACTCTTCTTCCTCCTGCTCCTCGTTGTCCTCCCTGGCTTTACCTTCGATCTTTTTTGGCGTTCGCTTCCCTCTTCCTTTCGGAGAGCTTTTTAGCCCCTGCTTTTCTTTCTCTGCTTGGGTCTTTTCCCATTGCTCTAGTATGAGCTCCGGTCGGCCATAAAAGTACTAGGTTCAACAATCAATACCAGATCGCATTCAATATTAGCTTCCACTCACGGTCTTTTTTGTCCTTGGAATTGGATCCCCGGTTTCGGGGTCCCTCGTCCAAATTTGGACTGCACCTGTCAACGCATCGACCCAGCGTATTCCATAACAATATACTGCTCCTTCGGGCTCGTCCGCGTCACTCTCGTCACACTTAGGTTCGTTTGTAGGGCCGTCTTGTTGGAGTCTTGCCCGATAGAGGTCAACATTCTTTTGCCGCCTGAAAGGGTTTTCGTACTCGGTTTTCTCTTTGATATTGACCAGCAGTACTGCTTTGAGCGGAGTTTTAAAGAGAAGGTCCTTGGCTCTCTGCTCTAGGTCAATGCCGCTTTCGTTGAACGCAACCTCTACGCCAAGGACAGGCGTGGGATCCGAGATAATAGAATATATTACAGCATCCGGATTTGCCACACTGAAATTGATTTCATCATCCATGAAATTGACAAAATTCGGAAACGTCTGATTCAATATATCGTGAGGTACTTGGGAGACCATGGCGCGGTAAATGGCCGACATGAGCCTGATTGCAGTGCGTGATAGATGTTGATTGAACTGGAGTTTAACGCGTCGCCTACTCGAATAATGAGCGTTTAGATATTAGCGATACATGGGACAGGAGAACCGTACCCCTTTCTGTTTTCCATATTGCTAAACGCATTCACCAGGTGGCAGAACTCATCACGAGTTGTCCTAAGATAAATTACCTCGCCGGAGAAATCAGTTGGGAACCTTCCAGAGAATATTTTCGCTCTCTGGTCCGGGTCCAGATCAGAAATTTTGTCCGAGCCCTCACTATTGAGGAGCGGAGATTTGCGGAAAGAAAGGCATCGCTGGCCCTTACTGCTTCTTCTTCTCAAGCTCTTTAACTGGCATACAAGAGCACCGGATGATAATCTTTTGTTTCGATATAAAGGGAACTTACGCATCAGCACCAGCCCAACTCGGGGAGTCAACATGCGAAACATCTTCAAGGGCAGGAATCAAGGAAACACTCAAGGGGATGAATCGACAAGCCCTAAGTGTATGCGCTAGGGAGGAAATGGTAGCATTGGTAGGGGGGAATTCTTTTCAGTCGTCGGTACCAAAGAACACACTTAACAATAACATTATGTGAGTGCTTGAGAATGGCGCGAAGGGAGATACACTTATTAGTCAAATATTGATTCACCACCTCCGCGTATTCCGGGCAACTAAAGCATAGCTGTGCTTAGACAGCGGGATGTTATGGAATGTCATCAGCAAAGTTAACTCTGCCGCGTTGAAGAGAAGATTGTCTAAAACTACGCTCTAAGTTTGAATCATCCAAAAAGAAATAGCTTTGGGTGGGAATAGTTTTGAAATCAAAGAAGGCTTCGATTACAAGTCCATATCTTCGTCTTCAGCACCATCAATGAATACAAGCCTTGTGCCATTGCCAATAACTTGCCACACCTAGATCGTTATGACAAGTTAGAGATATTATCAAATCTGAGCAAAATATTGGCCATCTGGAATTGCATCCAGCGGGTAACTGGATACCAGAATAACGGAGAACAGGAACGAGATATCCACTCACGTATAAATCAGCATATTCATCAATTGCGGCATTCAACTGGTCCTCGGTGAATCCCTTTGCCAATACTCTCTCTCTAATTTTCCTTACGCTCAGCTCCCCATCACCCCCATCACCAGTAGCAGCCGCACCACTTTCCCGCATTCCTCTAATCAGGTTGTAGATTTTACTTGTCGGAGTTTGGTCGGCACCGCTGTGGCCATCCATATACAGGCTTGACTTGCTTACTTCTATCAAGCGCAGAGCCTCATCCACGTCCTCCGAGACGACTTGATCGCTGAAGCGCAGACGCGCCAGGGCTTGCGAGAGACGTAATACGCCGAGTAACGTTCGAGGTGTGGTGTGCGAAAATTGCTTTTTACTGCCTTCTTCGCTTTTCTGCTCCTGACGAAGGCGGACGTAAGAGCCCACCATATAGTTCGAAACTTGTCTTGGGACAGTTGGACGAAAAGTTCGAGCTTTGGCAATGTACTGTCGCACTTCATTAGGTGTGAATATTACTTCATTCTCTTCGTTCTCAGGATGCTTGTTGTGCATGTGCACATATGTGACATGGTGGGCGAGTTCTTCGTCTGCGTCACGAGAAGGTGTGTCGAGCATTAAAAATAAGACATCGAAACGGGAAAGGAGAGCAGCGGGAAGGTTGATGTTTTCTACCGGAGAAACTCGCGGATTATACCGTCCATACAGCGGGTTAGCCGCTGCTAAAATCGACGTGCGCGCGTTAAGTGTCGTTGATATTCCAGCCTTGGAAATAGATATCGTTTGCTGTTCCATAACCTCATGGATTGCCGTCCTATCGCCGTCATCCATCTTGTCAAATTCATCAATGCAACAGATACCGTTGTCCGCAAGAACCAAAGCACCACCCTCTAGTACCATCTCATCTGTGACGGGATCTCGCATGACCGCTGCGGTAAGGCCCACACCAGTGCTTCCACGGCCGGTGGTATATACGCCTCGCGGCGCAACTTTAGTGATATACTTGAGCAATTGGGATTTGGCCACACCAGGATCACCCATGAGACAAATATTAATATCACCACGGATGCGCATTCCGTCTCCCATTTCTTTAGTGACACCTCCAATCAAAAGTAAAAGTAGCGCTTTCTTCACATCAAGATGGCCATAGATCTCAGGTGCAATAGAGCGCGAAAGGTATTCGTACATGTTTCCCGAATGCATATGCTGTTCAATTCGACGAAGCGTCCGAGGATCCATTGTGAGATTTTCATATGCCTTTTTGTGTTGCGTTATATGTTGTGCTTCGAGGTATGTGTCCGTTAGAAGGCCAGCTCGAATCGCCCTAAACCCTGTGTATGGCGTCGGAAGGAAAATACCAGCAATGTCTACCACATCACCAGGATTGACCTGTCGAGCGAGGCTACCAAGACAGTGGATGGTGAGCGTCCTGGGGATATGCCCAACAGGAACTTGATCCGCCATCTCTTGAATTTTGACTTCTTGAAACGGAATAAACTTGGATGCGCGGGAGGAGAGGAATAGTTGGCCTTTTGACTGATTTTTCGTACATTCTTCTGATAGACATTCTTGAAGGGGCATAAACTGTTTGGTTGTAACCGGTTGAAAGACCTCTGAGCCGCAACGATCACACGAATAAGCGTTAATTTTAACAGAGGGTTTCACATCCGACACCCGGGTGGTAATGCCTCTAACGGTAATCAGTTTTCCGAGATGTTCTCCCTTGACATTTCGCACCGCCAACGCCTTCGAGTTTCGCTCGCTGCTTGAACCAGAAGGTGTTCGCGGCTTGATATTCAGTGTATACCGGCGTGTAAGTTCAGGCGGAAATATGGAGTGCGGCAACCCGACATCTGTTTCTGATTCCGCAGCTGCTGACATTGTTTCGTTGCGCCTTTCACGCTGCGACATGATGATATCAAGGACGTCATCTTTAAATCTATATTCGAAGGATTAGAATAGTCCTGACATGGAGTTCCACCGTCCTGACACTCACGATACTTCCCGCGTCTCCTTGGGCATCACTTCGTCAACGACTTCGGAGAACACGTCAATGTAGCGTTTGGCGTTGTTTTCAATACTCTCGACGAGGTCAAAGTGAACATCGTCAGGTAACGCTTTCACAAACTACGAAAAATGCCAGAAATTAGCTTATTGCTAGTCCACCAAAAAGTGGCTTGCCATACCGTATCGAGGTCATCCAACTCAACAACAATGTTGTTTTTCGTTCTGTCTGCCACCTCCTGCAAAAGCTGCATGTATTTTAATTTGGGCTCTTTCCTCCGCCTTTCTGTTGTCCTTCCTCCCGGCGCATTACCGTCAATCTCGTCCATAAGCTCATCATCATCGCTAATGTCGTCCTCGTCGATATGCAGGCCCTCAATTGCTTCTGTAGCCGCGGATTCAGACGCCGAGTCGAACGTTTTGAAGTGCTCAAAAAAATCTTTAAAGACCTCTTTCTGCTCCGAATATCTTACGGGCGCTTTGAACTGGAGGAGTGCCATGTCGCAATCTCAGTAGCAGCGCTGCGCCAGAGCAATTCTTTGGAGAACAGGAGAGTATCCGCGAAGAACAAATAGTCAATTGGTCGGCGGCGCAATTATTTGATATTAGAGTGTCCAGAAGAGGGTTATCGGCGTCCTGCGAAGAAAAGTGCAAATCCGCACTGTCCAAGGCTGGCCTGCGCTCAAGCAGCAGCAGCAAAAGAAATGCGGCGTCGCGTCACCAATTGAAGACGCGTGCTGGACGCGTTTGACTAACTAGTCCAGATGCGGCTTAGCGCCGTCGGATCGGATTATCTCTCGGTACGACGAACCCCCGCGGAATAACTTTAATTGGGACATCCCGAGATCACGGGCCAGACGAGCTGATATTCCCGCCTGGCTCCTCTATGATTTGTATTGTCAAGATACTCGAAGCCTGGCTATCGCTTGTGTGCCGTATTCTGCAGAAGCGACTCATTCTTCCAAACGCCCTCCATGGCACCGAGCAATCGGAGATCAGCCACGGCCGCCGAGGTAGCTCTTGTTCCGCTCAAGAACTGCCTTGTCAACCTTCCCCCGTCATTAGTCTCTCTGTTGGTGAATGCGAATACTGTAAGCACAGCTGCTACAGCTTCTGAAGCGTGAAATTTGTCTAGTGTGCTAATTGTTTCCGCAGCCGGCTCAAAATGTCCTCGTTGAATTACAGTATCGAGCAGCTTCGTCTAGCTCACCCGGGGCTGCACCATCGCAAAGATTCGCATATACAGGCTGGACGGGGATGCCTAGTAAACGGAAGTTGACTCCGGTTGTAGGCAGGAATAGCATCAATAGCTCGCGGGGGATGTCTAGGGAGCAAGAGGTTGCCGTGGTCGAAATAGACTCTACTTTCGGACGGGTGTTGGGGTTGAACGACGGTCAAAAGGTGAGGGACTTTATCAGCCAGGTCTGGCTTCTGTCTCATAGGATATTCTAACCCCGTTCTTCAGGTCGGCCTGCTTTTACATCTGGACCCCCCCGTGGCGCATACCATTAATATCGAGCCTTTGACTCCGACTGATTGGGAAAGTAAGTCGCATGTCATTTGCATTTGGGCTAACCGGGAGAATACTGACTGTTATCTTAATAGTCATCGAATTACATGCAAACTTTTTGGAGTTGAACCTCCTCTCTCAAATCCGTGCCCTTCCCAACCCTTCTTACGCCAATGCAGCATCGGGCCAGGCAGATAAGCCTCATCCTCTCACTCTCCACCTTTCTCCAACTTCAACAGCAAATATTGTCGTAACATCTTTAACACCTTCTCCCTCTTCATCGTCCCCATTTGCGAAAATCGCGCCTGACGCTGAAGTTATCGTTGCACCGAAGGTTCGCCCCAAGTCTTCGAGGCCTGCCCGCGGAGAGACCCGGAGCGTTACAAGTACAAGCCGGAAAAGCCTTGGGGGCCGGAGCAGTAGCAGCACTGTCCGGCCAAAAAGTCGAGATTCCGAACCCGCATCCCGAGGAGCGTTGTACTTTCGTGGCGTTGACAGCAAATTCGCTTCGGATTGTTTTGATGAAGAGGTCGAGGAACTCAGCAATGAAGGCCTCAGAGCATGGGTCCATCGTGATGCACTCGCAAAATATGAGCTACGAGGTGCCACATATGTGTGTGTGTCTGTCGTTCGTCCTGCCGGTTTGTTACCACCCGTTGATCCACAGCAACATATCCAGCAGAAGGAGCAAGAATCGTCAGAGTCTGGTGAGATTAATAGAAAGCTCGTTGCGAGAATTTATCCTTGGGATGATTGCCCTGATTCTGGTCATGTTGCACTCTCTTCCATGTTGTGCTCTATGCTAGGATCCGAAGGTATGGTTGGAGGAGTAATTCGAATCGAAGCCGCACCGACCCAGAGACCCGGCATCAAATCGGTTAAAATATTTCCATTTAACTCTGATTCCTCGAAGAAAAAGGAGGGCTTGAAGTTTGGAGGAGAATCCGTGGCTTATAAAGAGGCTTTAGTCGAGCGGTTAAAGGCCATTTACGGCAGCCCCGGCTCTGATACTGGAATATTTGGAGGGCCGATAACAGACGGTATGATTCTTCCAAAATTAGAAGACCCAACTAGGTCACTCGAATTTGAGGAAGCTATGATCCGTTTTGAACCGCCTCCCAAAACACCTCCAGAAAGCAAAGCCCCACTAGGTTGGATTTTGGGTACAGAGTCGAAATTCGCGCTCGAAATTCAACCAGCTATTACGAAGCCGGCAGAGAGCAACTTTGTGTCTCTTCCCGCAGATGAGATACTACCGGATGATGTCCCAGAGATGGTCGGAATCGACTCCGTCATCGACAATTGCATGTCAAACTTGACCCGCGCATCATCGATCCTTGTCACTGGGGGCCTGGGGTCCGGGAAGACGTCACTATGCTATGTTTTAGGACAGCAATTGCGGGAGGATTATTTATTTAACGTGTCTTACTTTCCGTGCCGGAAATTAGTCACCGACGAAACGCGCATTTCGATGATAAAAGATACCTTGCATCGCCTGTTCCTATCTGCCTCTTGGTGCGCTAGACTGGGTGGCAAGTCAATTGTTATCTTGGATGATATAGATAAGCTCTGTCCTGTCGAAACTGAGCTTCAAGTGGGTGGTGAAAATGGAAGAAGCCACCAAATCAGTGAGATATTTTGCTCGATTGTCAGAGAGTTCTGCTCTGCAAATTCCCCAGTTGTGCTCTTGGCTACCGCCCAATCCAAAGAGTCTATCAACAACGTTGTCATAGGGGGTCATGTTGTTCGAGAAATCGTGAGCTTAAAAGCTCCAAATAAAGAAGGGAGGCGAAAGGTTTTGGAGAAATTGACAAGTGAAGATAAACCGCCGGGGATTCTTTCAAATACCGTTAACGGGTATTCTCATAGCCGCAAACCCTCGTCTCAAGATTCCTGGCTGGATCCCTCCAACCCTGCAACTAGACCTGGCTCTTCAGAAGAGCAGGATGGCTTCGTCTTGAGCCGCGATCTCGACTTTCTAGACCTAGCAGGCAAGACGGACGGGTACATGCCCGGGGACCTTGTTCTCCTAGTCTCTCGCGCAAGGAACGAAGCGCTAATCCGTGCGGTTCAAGATATCGATGCTTCGTCGTCCGCTATTGCTCTTGGTACTGAAGATTTCGAAAGGGCACTGAAAGGCTTCACCCCGGCATCACTTCGCAATGTCACTCTAACATCTTCCTCCACGACTTTCGCCGCGATAGGAGGCTTGCATGACACTAGGAAAACTCTCCTTGAAACGCTCCAGTATCCGACAAAATATGCCCCCATTTTTGCGCAGTGCCCCCTTCGCTTGCGATCTGGCCTCTTACTTTATGGTTTTCCTGGGTGTGGAAAGACGCTCCTTGCAAGTGCAGTTGCCGGCGAATGCGGTCTCAATTTCATCAGTGTCAAGGGTCCTGAAATTCTTAATAAATACATCGGTGCTAGTGAGAAGAGCGTTCGAGATCTCTTTGAGAGAGCTGAAGCTGCTAGACCATGTATTCTATTCTTTGATGAGTTTGACAGTATTGCACCAAAACGTGGACATGATTCAACTGGTGTGACTGATCGCGTTGTCAACCAACTTCTTACTCAGATGGACGGTGCAGAAGGATTATCTGGTGTGTACGTTCTCGCTGCTACGTCACGGCCAGATCTTATCGACCCAGCGTTGCTCCGGCCCGGTCGACTTGATAAGTCGCTCCTTTGCGATATGCCGAATCATGAAGACAGAGCGGATATCATCACGGCGCTTGCAAAGAAGCTAAAACTTAGCGAGGAAGTTATGGAACATATCGGTACCATAGCTGACCGGACGGAAGGTTATTCTGGTGCTGACCTCCAGGCTGTCGTATACAATGCACACCTGGAAGCTATTCATGATGCACTAGGTGATCGATCGTCAGAGAAGCCACAAACTAAACCCAATTCGATGCCAAACGGTGTCAATGGTATAAATAGTGATCAAAAGACAAACAAGCCTTTCATCCAGTTCCTATACGATCCAGAAGAACACGCCATTGCTACCTCAACTGGACGAGCACGGGTTTCGGCATCATCACCATCCCTAACCCCTCCAGCCGTCATCGCCGCCAAATTAGAAATATTGAAGAAGGCAAGACGGCGGCAGCGAGAAGCTGAACGTGGTCCCACTTCCGACGCCTACGTCAACGATGGTGTCAACGGCGTCGAAGGTATATCAGACAACGATAGAGATTCAAGTAACGATATTCAAATCGAGTGGGTTCATATTGAGCGCTCATTGGAAACCACAAGGTGTTCCATCAGTGACGTTGAGAGAAGAAGATTAAGGGCAATATACTCTGAGTTTATCGAAGGAAGAAATGGAGAGATGCCGACTGGTGAGGGAGCAAGGGAGATTGGTGGGAGAACCAGCTTAATGTAAATGCCTACTCCACAGTTTCTCTAGCACTTTTGCTTGCACTCTTGGGTGTTTTTCTCCGGTTGAATATTGGTGTCTACTGGTGCTTAGGTATTTAAGTGTCCAGAAGGTTTCCCTCTGGCGCATACTGATGGTGACGTATCTAGTTAGATTTAGGATAGATCCCTTTCATATACGTATATAATTGTCGACAGTTAACCTTTCTCCGTCCGTATACTCAAAAGAAAACAAACAGATCATTCTTATTTCTAGACATACAGGTTAATGCTCCATTTACTGTACATAGACTCCACCAAAAAAGAATTCTTCCCCTCCAGTTAAGCGCGGTGATACGAGTTATGTAGAAGAGAGTACTCGCAAACTCCTCCTGGCAGACCCATGCATTCATCCGGCAGTGTGAAGTCGAATGCCCAATCAGAGACACGGCTATCTCTATAAATATATTCAAGCCACTGGTAAAGCTCTCAATCTCCTCCCAATTCTTTCCAATTCTCCGACAACACCATTAGCGAGACCCCATTTCTCAGCAACTAACGTGTCTGTAATCCTCTCACGTAAGATTCCACTGAGTGAATAGTACTCCAACAAACCTCTTGTATCGTCTTTATCTACTTGGCCGATATATGTTAATCCTAGCCCTTTTTTTGCGCGATTGAAAAATCCAGTTACGCGTGGGTCCAGCGTCTCGTATGGCCCAGGAGTTGGAATTCTGTGTGGATCGAGGGGCTGCCCATGGCAGCGGTAATGGAGCTCCGCGAGTCCAACGTCAAAAGTGCGGACAGAAGGGTTGTTAGAGAAGGATGTTGCGAAGAGAGCAACGCCGCCATTGGGCATCGAGGAGGCTGGGTTTGAGCAGAGAGAGAGGAAGTGATTAATGAAGACGAAATCATGCGCATGGATAGGCTTGAATTCCGGGCTGAAGTATTTCGTAGTTTGCATCCAGTGTGAAATGCCATCCACTGTAATCAACATTGGGGGCCGGGGTTTGAATGGTTGGAAGCCGCCGGTGGGTATTTTGGTAGCGCTTGTTGCCGTCAATTCGCTCCAGAGCGCTCGGAAAGCAGGCCATGCGACATCTGGCTGTTCCGAGCCAACGATCGCCAGGTCCTGAAGAGACATTTTAGGGTCAAAGGTTGATTTAAGTTCTGGATGCTGGCGGGAAACATGGAGCTTGGACAGAACGGCTTCGTTGGCCTTGGCTACACGGTCCAAGAGCTGCGCAGTCGCGGCCTTTTGAACATATTGAACCGGCTGAGATCCCTGGACCGGAGCGTATGCGGTTGTTCCGTCAACTAGCTCACGAGCTAGGTTCATCAAATCAGCGAACTGTTCAAATGGCCATAAAGATATGCCAAGGCTCAGGACTCACCATCAGGCACGCTCATCACAACCCAGTTATCTAGCAATGCCCTCGTCATTGCCTGCAACAAATGTACACTCTTTCCAGAAAATCTGGGCCCAGCAAGAATCCTTGCTATAGCATTTTTATCTTCGCGTATCTGAGACATCTCGTCCGCTATTTTCCACGTTTCTTCCCTCATCAATGTCGCAGGTCGTCTAAACAAGCTCCAGCCTTGCGTTGTCTTGAAGGCTTGCAGTGCCCTCAGTCTATCTAGAAGAGAAACCGGAATGCCAAAAACTTTTCCCTTCAGCGATATATCATGCATATTCTTTAAAGAAAAGTCCTCGAGCCCGGCGACTTCGAGGGCATTGGCATTACTAAGAACCAAGCGTTGAGTGTAGGCTTTCCGCTCTGCTGGCGATTCTCGGACAGTCCTGCCCGCTCCACTCCTCTTCTTTACTCGAGCGGACCGCTGTTCACGGAACTTGGGGCCAGCATCGAGACTCCGAGACTTTTTGGGTGGAAGGACGAACGTGGGAGCGGTGGAATGGAAAGGTGCTGCTGCGACTGCTCGAGGTATCGTCGTCACCGGGAGGAGCGACCTGGGGGTTGGCCGGAGCTTCGACAAGCAGCTCCAGCAAAAGGAGGATGCCATTGTGTATTGTCAGAGCCGGCTGGAGGGATCGCCGGGTCACAATGGCCTAAGGTAAAGCTCGTGAGAGCGTTTTTTGGGATTTGAAGATGAAATCATTTAAACTTTCCAGGGCCTGTCTTGGCACCCAAAAAGGGAGAAGTAACGCTGCTTGAAAATAAATTAGTAATATGCATCTGATTACCAAGCACTGCACTAAAGCGGCACGTCAAGACCTGGACGCTCTATCGGCAAAATTATTGCTAGAAGCTTTTCAGTGAACGACAAAATCTACTTCAGCTTTTCAAACAATCAGCTCGCCTAGCTGTCAAAATGTCTAACGGAGAGGCCGGCGCCGGCCTGGCGGCATTCAATGCCTCTAAAACAAAACAAAAGCGGGAAAGATTGTATGTTCCTCAGCCCGCTCATCCCTCAGTCCGAATATCTAGTTGTATGCGTGAAGCAGCATCGCTAACAAGATCTCCACCAAGGCCCATAACAGTTGATAAACCCAACCCCTACACATTCGATCTCGGCCGTCTCATGGCCCTCGATCCCAACCCGATCAACCTTCCGCCAAACTCCCTCACCAACCCAACACTCCTCGACTCAACCCTAAAATCCACCGCCCGCGATGGCGCCCAATGCCTCCTTAATCAGCTCCTCACCGCATGCCCCATAACCAGCTCCTCCACCGAAGGTGTCCTTCTCACTCTACCTGCCCCAACGACGCCGCTACCCCGCTTCAAACCCCTCCCTACCCCGAAACCTCCCACGAAATGGGAGCTTTTTGCGCGCAAGAAGGGCATTGGCAAATATAACACGAAACTTGGCGCCAATGAGGCGGAGCGAAGAAAGAAGTTAGTATACGATGAGGAGAAAGGCGAGTGGGTACCTAGATGGGGTTACAAAGGGAAGAATAAGGCGGAGGACAATCAGTGGTTGGTGGAGGTTGACGATAAGATGTGGAAGAAGGAACAGGATATGAATAGTCGGGGAGAGTCGATTAGGAATGTTGGGAGGAAAGAACGGGTGGAGAGTATTAAGAGGAACGAGAGGAAGATGAGGGCAAATATGCGGAGGGCTGGGACCACGAAGAGTTAGGTCTAATGGGCAGGAGGAGCCGAATCCATAATTTCGATGTGTGGCGTTTTGTGCCGGATTTAAGATGGTGTTTTTGCAAGGCGTTTTAAGGCCGTGAGGGAAACCATGTCCATGCAAAAGTGCTGGGTAAAGCCCAATTTTTTGTCCAGGCCGCTCAACAGCAGTTATAACGTTCAAATCTATATCTATAGGTTACAGCGTCCGGCTCTCGCTGGGTTGACATGTAGCCGTATGTATAATATGATGACCTTTGCTTCGGAGGTAAAAATGTGGAAAGAGATATTCTCGTTGTTTTAGGATCAGTTTTGAGATCGTCAGAAGCGGTCAGCGCAATGTCTTCTCGCGATGATTATTTTTCAACTAATCTTCAAGAGGCTCTACAGCCAAAGCAAAGGAGAATGGAGCACCAAAAAACATGAACCTATGTACGCATGAGAATTATGCAACAAAAGGAAGTAGAAGCTGCCTGAACCGAAGTATTGCAAAACAATCACGACTTCAACAACATAATCCATCCAAAGGAAGTGGAATAAAAAACAAAGTTTCGCTCACGCGCCATACATATGCTCAGGTAACAAAGAAAATGAAGCAGAAAGGCACAAGAAATCCGGGCTATCAAATGCAACAGAAAGCTAAACCTTTGTTGCATTTGAAGAAAATGCCGCGATACTCCATGGAAGGACACCAGTATCAATATCACGAACGAAAGCTGAATATCGCCGCTTAGGTTCCGAACATGCTGGAAGTTGGCGGGTTGGAGGGACCAAAGAACGCCGGTTGCTAAAGGCCAAAACGCCAACACAAACCCCATTTTGACTTCGAAAAAAAGAGACGATAAGCGATGCCGTTTAGCAATAAATTGTCGGCATCATGTCGAGAGGAGATGAAAGAGAAAGTGATAATTCGGGACGACGTCATATCTGGGATCCTGTTACATTTCAGTGTTCAAAACAATGTGCCGTCCACCAAAATATAAGCCTAGTCAAAGCGGCCAATAACTGGTAACAACCGCTAATAATAAGTCGCTTCCCGTTAAATTTCAATTGGTGATAGTGGAGGGCCAAGTTCCGGGAGCTGCGAGGAGACCTTCAAATTATCGTTTCCGATATTGGGGGGCGTCTTACGGCCCTTTTTTAAACTCCCCGAACGGCTAGAAGCTTTGGTGGTCGTGCCACTAGACGCCTCGTGATCCATCGGGTGACTGCTGCCCGAGGAAGAGATTGCCCTTTCTTCAGCTGTCTCCGTGGCTGAAGCGGCGGGAGGGGTTGTTTTGTTCAAAGCTGCCTCTTTTAATTGCCGTGCATGCTCCAGCTCCTTTTCAAGATACTCTTTCTCGGTCCAACAGCCCTGCCAGCAATTTTTCCAATCGCAGACTAGGAACTGGAAGCAGAACCCGTCAATTTTCATACATGGCTGAAAGCAAATGCAGAGATTGCGATAGTCCATCTTGTTCTTATCGACATATGAATGGAGGAGGCTTAAGTGGCATGTTATGGCAAACAAGAGGTAATAGTTGAAGGGTGGGAGTTTGGATAATTCGTCCTTTAAAAGTTGCGGCGCTTTGGTGGCTCCAGGACACTTTTCTGCAATCATAGCTTGTGTTGCTTTAGGAAATATTTCATCCGGCAACTCGCGAAGCCACGCTTTAAACATTGACCCAATCGTGTTGACATCGTACAATTCCGGCTCGTCGAATAAGTTGATGTCAAGTTCTAACAGAGGTTAATTTTTGCTATGCCACACAGTTCGACCAGCTAGAAAGGTCGGTTCTTACCTGTGTCGAATCGTCTCTGCCAATGTTTGATATCTTTACCACTGCCAGGTACGCGGTACAATCCTTCTTCTTCGCAACCTTTGAAATTCAGATAGCTGATGCCCTGTCAGTATAATGTTCACGACGATCTTTTTGTATGAGTTAACGTACTCTATACATCTCCAGGGTAAAGCTGGCATCCAATATTCCGTCTTATCCTTAGAAGCTTCTAATCTTTTTCGATATTCTCGTTCGCCGAGTTTGCTCAACAAGAGGGAGGTTGATGACAGAAACAGACGTAATTATCATCTGTCATCATCTCTCGTTCGTGGATACTAGCCTGTTTTAGTGAATTTGGCCAAAAATCCCTTTCCCGGCTCTCCCAGTCGATCTGCTGCCCCGCTCGAGGACTGCTTTAAATTGTTGAACAGAGATGAACTCGTGACCTGGTTAAACGGAGAGTTAACCGTTGCACCCCCGTGCGCTCGGTCTCTCCTTGAATGGTTGTTGCGTTCCTCAACAGGCGGTCGATCCGCAGACCGATTGCGTACGGTCGAACCCATGGCGTCATTGAACGATCGTTCAGGTTGCAAGGGAGCAGTTTTTAGGGACGCTTGCGCCTCTTCTCTGCTGATTTCCTCAAGTCGAAGCAGTCCGTTAGACGGCCGCCTTGTGGCACTTGGACGACCGCCAGAGAAAGGTTCATCAACGCGAATAGACCGGCTTCGGGCGAGAAGATTAGCAAACCTAGGCTTGCTTTTCTTGGTTGTTAGTTGTTGTTGTTGCTCGCTATTTTCATTTGCCTTCCCATTTGCGCTCTGCTGGCCGCTCTGAGATTTGTCACCGAAACTCTCTCCTAAATATCGTGTATCGTCAGCGAACCCGAAAGCTATATTGTCCGATTTGCTGTATTCCGTACCTTTGCTTTTCCCGCTACTTGAGGAGGTTTTAGGGAGACCTGGTGAAGGACTGTTGTGTCCTTTGGTCTTATGAGCCGTCCTATCCTTTGAGCTGCCTCTACTAACGGGTTTTTCTTCCCCAGGCCGTCCGATAGAATTATCAGAATAGTTGATTTTATGGGTGGATCTGGAAGCCTTGAAGTTCGTAAAGAAGGATTTAGAAGTATCTCTCCCGTGTTTTGTAGAGTCCCTAGGCGAGGATGGGAACGGTGGAATCGCTGTTAGACCTGGAGTTGGCGGGGCATCACCAGTGTCCGTACTAATTGAAGTGCCCTGAGGATCTTGCTACCGAAGCGGACGTATCCGAACCCAGAGCTGAACGTGCAGTAACGGGACGAATTGTGCTACCTTTGAACGTTGATCCGGTAGAAGATAAAGGGGATACAGGTGTCAAAGGGCCCAGAGGTATTAGGGCTGTTTAAGCTATCGCTGAAATTTGACTGCCCTAGATTAAGCGTCGGGGCGCGGGAAGACTTTTTAGTCATGTTGGGAGACGTAAAGAGCGTTAACTTGTGGGAAGGGAAGCCGAAGCACGAGAAACGTTTGGATTTTGGTGAAGCGAACTCGAAGGTGGAGGTGAAACGGTCACGTTGAGGTATGGAAGTAAAACAGGGGAGTTAGATGAGGTGACGTTCTTAGGCCGATCTGTTCCATAAGATCAATCAAGTTAGCTAAATTCATGCATACCATTGCATCCAATGATATTCGAAGTGACGATTTAAGGTGCAATTACGGAGGTGAAGTTTGTCACAGGTTTGCTTAAATATGAAAGATGAGACAAGCGAAGCTCACCGTCCAGAAGGCACGCAACACCAAAATGCAAAGGTAAGAAAACCCCACCGGGTCAGCCAATGCGGGGGATGCGGCCACAGAAACTGGGGCCCGGGGTGAGTGTGAGTATCAGGTCAAGCAGTAGGAGCCACGATGCAAATTATTTAACCAGTGAAGGGATACGTGGGGTGCAATAGGGCGCTGCAAGTCTCAGCGTCGCATCTGAATTCTGAGTCAACATTCCACTGTCAGGGCAGGCCGTTCAAGCGAAGGAATATCGGTAAGAGGAGATTGGGGCCCGTACAGGTAAGGAGAAATCAAAGCCGCTAATCAGATGTAAGTTGGAATGTTATCGACAAGACATGGCTAGGATAGATATACGTCAAGCGAAGTGACACAGCAGCCAGAGGATGAAAGCAGAAAGACGTAATAAAAAGGTGAAGTGTGATGTCCAGCAACAGGCGCCACCAAATTTTAAGAATGGTGATAATAATGATGATGACAGGCTCTCTTTCTTCTCACATTTGGGCTTGGATTTCAACAACCGGTTTCCGCAAGCAAGGATGTGAAACAATGGACGGATCAGGCCCAAGGAAATGATATCAGTACATACCTCTCTACAAAAGGATGCGGCCACTCCACAGGGAAAAGGAATTTGTTGTTTGATATTGGAGAGATGGGCCGAATCTCAACTGCTGGCCAGAGTAACATGTGTCTGTCCTCTTTCAGGGCCAGATGTGGTATTAGAGTGTCCAGCCTGCATCAGGCATCGTATGTGCGTAGTGTACGCTGCCGGCCCGGGCACAGAAGTCGAAGCGGGAGGAGGGAGAGATCGAAGCGTGGAGTGCGTGGCATGCGCGGTAAGTAGCGTGATAAAAGGTGGCAGAAGGGTCGAAAACCGGGGACAAAGACTGGTCAAGGCAGGAGGGGAGCAATCGATAAGTGACGGCTATTATTATTAGAATAATAAAAGAGTTAGAAGATAAAACGTTATGGCAGCGAAGATGGAGCGCAGGATTAAACTATCTACACAACTGAGGAGTCGTCAAGACGCAGATGAGGTGAAGTCAGGTCAGCGTTGGCTGAGAGTCCGCGTCTTCGCTTTGGTCCCGGTCCCTTAAAACCGCCTGTAATCTGGCTAGTCCGCTTTGGTCCTTGGTTTGCCCGCTAATGCAGGTGCGGCTACAGCGACCACAAAACCACCTCCATCCCCAATTCGAGCCGATTGTTATTCAGGGGAAACGGGATCACAGCTATCACCGGGCTGCTCTCACGTCTTCTTGAGGACTGACAAGTAGTGAGTTATACGTGCTTGGGACCTTGACGGAATACTCGGAGCAAGCCTTCATTTGAACTCCTGATTCGCGACGAGAAAAAAGATCTCAACGCATGACATGGAGCCCAGACGCCGGACGGTGAGCCTTGACTAGCTAGCTCAAAGTCAACCTGGCAAGGCGAATACAGAGAAATGTCTCCTTCAGCTGATTTCAAGCTTCTACAGTTCGGATCAAGATGGAACCATGCGAGGCATGAGTCTGCGGGTAACGAGGGTACGCCATCTCAACACAGCAGCTCTGGAGTTCCTCGTACCCTTTCTTCTGCAGAACAGTTACAACCTCCCCCTGAAAACTTCCCGTCTGTATATTCGCAGAATTACTTAAGCGCGCTTGGAGCACCCATTTGATGCATCTCAGTCTATGTATATTGAGGCAAGGGTTGCAACGTAGCATCAAGATTCCCTGTACCTTGGCACAGGGTCGCTCACCTCTGAGAATTTCTCATACTGTGAGGAAAGACGGTTGGTCTTGTGATTTTGCGGATGAAACGGTTGGTGGGTGAAGGGTAGTTCAATTTACCACCAGAAGCATTAGGATGGTGTCAAAATTTCGCTAGACGATTAATAACAGCATCATCTGCCAGATCCTAGAGAAAGCGCCCCCTTTAAAAGGATGCAGTTGACCCCGCTCCCGTCCTTTTCGTCCACGAGGATGATCATGACCTTTAGCGAGGGAGCGGAACTTTACATGGCGATCGGACCAGACGCGGTTAACATGATAACATCTGATCATTGATGTGCTGGCTGCAGAGATCAGACGAAACAAACCCGCCAAGCCTCAGATTTCTTAGTCAGAAATCATGCCAAGACTCAGCGCCAATCCAACAAGGTTTATTTTCCGCACCCAGTCTCCTCATTCTCGCGCAGTGTCAGACCTTCTCATTGCCAGGTTGATTATGTTAGGAGACATAACAGACTATCGAACCTCCTAAACTTCTGGTGACATTTTCAGAAGTGGAAGCAGTTCATATTTCACCCCTTCAGGCCTAAGGGCATTTTCAAACATCCATGTCTCTTGTTTCCGGCCCAGGAAAAGGTGGTGCTGGAAAGCACAACCAAGGGCTGTTCGTGGAAAAGCACGTTGATTATATCAAAAGCCTTGATAAAGTGTGTCACCTTTGATTCTTGCTTTGTCTAATTTCTTGTCGTGAATCGGCTGGCTTAGATGAATATTGACCAGCCCGTTTGTCCATCAGCGGAAAGACGAATATGAATATTGGTTGACAGAGCACTTACGGCTGAACGGTGTCTACTGGGGCCTCACTGCTCTCCATCTCCTTGGATACCCGGAAGCTCTTCCCCGGGATGAAACAATTGACTTTGTCCTTTCTTGTCAGCATGAAAATGGAGGCTTTGGTGCGGCTCCGGATCATGACCCCCACATGCTGTACACGGTCAGCGCGGTTCAGATTTTGGTCACAATTGATGCGGTAGAGGAGCTTGACAAACGAGGCCGCGGGGGCAAAGAAAAGGTCGGATCATGTATGGCCTCCTCTTCAGACTTGCATTGTATGAGTAGGTGCTGAGATACCTCCTCGCAGTCATTGCTAACTTACAGGACCGCATTACTGGTACATTCAAGGGCGACGAGTGGGGGGAAACCGATACACGATTCCTTTATGGGGCATTTAATGCGCTGTCATTGCTAAATCTGCTCCATATGGTTGATGTCGGTAAAGCCGTGTCTTACGTACAATCATGTGCCAATTTTGATGGGGGCTACGGTATCCGGCCAGGTGCCGAGTCGCATTCTGGACAAATTTTTGTCTGTGTCGGCGCTCTGGCTATTGCTGGACGACTGGACCTGGTTGATTCCGAACGCCTTGGTGCATGGCTAAGTGAGAGGCAGCTGGATCATGGTGGTCTAAACGGCAGACCAGGAAAGAAAGAGGATGTCTGCTACAGCTGGTGGGTCATGAGTAGTTTGGCAATGATTGGGAAACTCCATTGGATCGATGGGGATAAGCTTACCGCTTTCATACTCAGTTGTCAGGTAGCCGACTCTTTTCCTTGTGATTCGTTCTGCTTAGCTAAATCGAGTGTGCTAGGATCCGCAACTAGGCGGCTTCGCTGATCGGCCCGAGGATATGGTGGATGTTTTCCATACTGTGTTTGGAATTGCAGGTCTAAGCCTACTTAAGTATCCTGGTGTCAACGAGGTTGACCCGACCTAGTAAGTAATCCTGATTCTCGGTTCCATTGCGCACGGTTGTCTAACATACACCCGTAGCTGTATGCCCAAAAAGGTCACTTCCAGGGCTTTGAGGAGGTAGCATGGTGTTTGATAGCTTACTCCTCCTATCAAGCTTTAGCCTCCCTGTTACTTAGCGTTGCTGCCTCTTTCTCTCGAGTCATTTCTAGGATTGGACCTCCTGCAATCTAATAACCCATCGAGCCCCCCGCCATGGACGAGGGGATACAAGGCAGGAGGAGAGCAATATGCACTGCGATTTCTTCTATTTGCTCGTGGGTCTCAGGGATTCAGTCTTTGAGACCAATAAGTCGCAAGCGAACATTTTGCTCAAAGAATATGGCAGCTCAGCCTATCCATGTTTCAACATGCTTCGAGACTCCAATGAACAGCTTCTTTTCTAAATCCCCTTCATCGCTGTAAAGTTCAGACGTTGCCGTCTGAAGTATTTTGTTGATATACCCCGCCATAAACCACTCCCAGCTGCCTCTTGTCAGTAATACGGCCGTATTTACGCCGTTCCTGCCCTTACCACCGGAGAGCCTTCCTCTCCGGCCTTCCTGCCCGTATCCAAGGTACTTTACTGCTTCGTTTCAAGTTCCTGCCAGTTTTGATTCACCGGAGGAATCGACCTCGCTGAGGAGAGCTCTTCGTCTCCTCGCTGTTTCTTCAACTTCAGCCCATCGCCCTGTCTCCCCGCCTCTTGACTTCAGTACCTCAGAGGAGGGAGTGTTCTGACTTCATTGCTATTTCTCAAGAGCATTTTTTATTCTGGAGCCGTGGCTCCCAACTTTAGCTGGTTGCTACCTTGGTTGTGCCCTGGGCTTCAGTCCTGTTTCTCGGCATCATGCCATCCTCTACCATCCTCAAGTGCAATATCTGCCCGAGAAAGCCAAACTTCAGCGATGTGTCTCATCTGTTAACACATGTTAGCTCAAAGGGTCATCTGTCCCATTACTTCAAACTACAGGTGCGGAGCCACCAAGAACCAGAAGCTGGTGAGCTGCTGGCAGAGTACGACCAATGGTATGGTGACCACAATCTTGCCGGTTTGCTCTCCGAGCGTATGATAGCCAAGGAATCCAGGAAAGGTAAAGGCCGCAGCACAACCACTCGAAATAGCAATCTGCAGGATCGCAGAACGTCGACGTCGATGCTTCCACCTGCGACCCATGGCCCGGTTCGAAGTGACCAGCGCTCTCTCCCCAGCTATGTGGACCCTGACCTATCTCAGCCATATTTTAACGTGAACAATCGTCATCCACCCGATCCTCGCGTGCAATTATGGCCCGCCGCCCAAAAACGGAGATCCTTACCATCTCGATCGTCAACTCACAAGACCTGGAAACTCGAATCGCCTGATTCTGACGAAGGTGATGACATGAGCCCTCTAGCACAACGAAAGAGAACCTCAATGGATTGGTCCTCGCACATGGGGAGCTCCGCAGCCCGCATGAACCGTCGACCTGTTACTCCAGATCCATTCATTGACGATGCCAGCTACGAGGAGGAGGACGATGAAGAGGAGGAGGAGGAGGAAATCGAGCACAGGGAAGAGATCTCGAAGTTAAAGGGCGTCTTCTGGCCGGGTATGGACATATTTGATTCCGCCACAGAGCAGATGAGACGAAAACGTAACCAGAAAAAGGACGGTAGCGTCTTAAAGCAGATGGAAAAGACCTCGGAGGCCGTTGAGCCCACAGAACTCGTCTTCTCCCCTGGAGGCACGTTGCGAAAGGCACGTCTCATTTCAGGAATGGTGGATGACAGCAGCCCTCTTAAAGGGGAAACTCCAATCCCTAAAAAGCGTGTGACGCGCCCGAGACGGCCACCCTTGGCTCAAAGCAATCCAAACCGGATTTTGCGGAGCCACACGAAACTACGGAAAAGGTTCAAAGGTCAACGCCAGCCAATGGAGCATGACTTTTATTCGAGACAAACTCTGCCGTTCGTGGAAAGCCCACAACACACCCGCGGAGACGCACGTTTTGGTAGCGATTTTGGGATGCGGGACGAGGACTTCAGACTGAGCTTCTCTGGTTTCGAACCGAAATCGTCACGCGGATTTGAAGTGTTTGTAGACGGAAAAGAAGCGAACAATGGAATCAATGTTAGCAATGGGCATAAAGCTTACTATAACCCCTTGGGCGCTTCTAGCTCCCTTGCTCTAAATCATCAGTCGCGAACGAGTACCTCCAGTGGGCTGAAAAGCTTCGCTGGTAAATCGGTCCATCTACCGGAATACCGGGGCAAAGAAAACATCGAGCCTAGCTTTTCCCAAAGAGTTGACGGGCAGTATATAGAAGAGAATTGGGACACAACACAACTTGGAGCTGAAAGCCGGTACGGCTCGCAGTACCTATATGGAACAAGTTTTCAAAGCTATAGCTCATTTGGGGGAAATGATGCCTTCGGCTACTCTTCTAATCCCCTAAGTTGTTCGCTTGCGCAAATCCAAAACAGCGGAGACCCGAAGCGCAGTACTAATACGTTATTGCCGGGTCTGTTGGAATCGCCCATGCGCAGCGTTTCCAAAAGCGGACGTGTAGTCTCGCCAGATGGAACCGTATCAGACCTTGACCAGGACGACATTGGCCGGATGTATCTGAACGAGTTTGCGACATGACGCGATGATCGATCTTCGAGTTCTAAGACACAATTCCGTGAGGCTGAGTAGTTAACACTTGATTCAAAAGCCGGACCAGGAACAAAGAGGATGGCGTTAAGGGTACCATTTTACCCTCCTTCATTTTTTAGTGCATTTTGATTTGCGCTCCTCCGGGTTTATTCCATATGAAGTTTAGACAGTAGCATTGCATTTCAGTTACGTTGTTATGGGCGTTATGATAGATCTGTCGGAAGGGAAAGACTGAGAATCCTTGGGCCAGCTGATGCCATAGCTGAATTCGAATTAGTTAGACTGTATGATAAATAACATATTGGAGTCAGGACTGTTGGGGCAGCTCCTATCATTAAGAGTACGACTTTCATATGTCAGTCAGTGTCCCAAGAAAAACAACTCCGGAGTATTCAACCACTTAGACCTCTGTATGGCAGTGAGTCCACGGAATGCCTGTTAAATCCTCAAGTTCCATTTTACCGCTTTTATTCCTGAAACCAAATATCTTCAACCCAGAGATACCCTTTTCTTGTCACTCCTGTCTATGTTTCGCTACGCTCCTCGCCCTGCTTTACTCAGACGCAGAAACCCTTTCGGTTCTCATTGCTTTCATCGAGCCACAGGGGAGTTGGTCAACCTGGATACCAATGGGAATCCCATCTCAACGCGGGTCCCCATTGTTATTGGCAACCCAGGGGAAGCCTATGTCCTGGTTGAAACTGACGTCGGCCGCGCACTCCACGCCAGCCGGCTATTGATACAAAATTCGGCCTCTATGTCTGCTCATGTTGGTGATCAGGACCGATGTAAACTCATCTATTTCCATGATAGGCAATATTTTAGTTTTGGTAAGGCTGTTTCCATCCACTATCCTTAGTTGGAGGATGTTACAAGGTCGCCGCTCATCTTGCCCTTTTGGCTTCTAGGTCCCTCGACTTTTCCGCGCCTGCGCGTTCCTTATGACATGCCACGCCAGACGGGCTCGAGTATGAGCCCAGCTACTTTGTTTTTGACTGGAGAAATGCATGAGACTGTTCTGGATGGGACTCCTGATGGTGTGTATAATCATATTTCGAATTTGAGTCTAAAAAGAGGCTAATATTAGGAACAAATAGCTGATTTTGCGGAGCATGCGACAGCCAGTGCACAAAGGTTGCAGGCAGTACTTGACCAGTTAAAGGACATGTAAAATTGAAACCTATCTATGCCTTTATGTATGTTGTTATATCAAAAGATAAAACAAATGAAACAAAATAACCTAGGGTAGGGGTGCGTGGTTACTCCTACATGATGCCCACATTATATATGTATAGCTTTCTCATCAAATCGTCACATAATGGCTGTCAATCACATTGATGGTTTGTCTGTGGGTAGTTAGTCCTGCCCTTGAAAGTTCGAGCTTGGAGATGGCGAAGCCGCAAATTAACTACCACTGGCATAAAAATGACAATGCATATATCACTGTTTCAACAAGATAATGATGGACTGGTGAAAAAAATAAGGACTCTTCATTCTTAAACTTCAGCCTCCAAGCTTAACATATCACCCATAACTGATTGCCTTTGAATCTACATAGGCATCACATGCATCTGCAGAGAATGTAATGCACTTTATACCATTCAAAACTGCACTACCATCTCCATACTCTAGGTTCCAGTACCCTGAGATGACACATTCCAAAGTGAGAAACTTAGTGCCAGGGAAAGCTGCTGACCAAATAATCTTTCAATCTCCTCATCACTCTTATCATGATACAGTTGACACCTTGTCTCTATCTCATAAATTGCAGATCCAAGTGTAAGACCTCAGAATTTATGGAGGGAGTGCTGGCTAGGAACCCTGGATGCCCCGAGTGCGGATTAGGCGCGACAGGTGGTCTGGAACCATCAATCGAAGGCCCAGCAAAGTCAGATAGCTATCATCGTTCCAGTCCAATAGCATATCGAGTGGACATGGAGGGTGCCAGCAACTAGGGAATCCCAGCGAAGAACATATTCCGCTGATGGTTCCCGACTGGCAGCACGCAGCTCCCGGAGTCGTTTATATTGTAGACGTTCAAGGGCAATTGCATGTTTATGGAGAAAAGGTATCTAGTGACATAAAGATGAGCGCCTGGTGGTTCGTAAATTTGCGCTCATGGGTGCCGTCAGCATTGTTTGGAGTTTTAAGTACAACCGATCAGAAGACATCAAACAGGAAATAAGGCGGAAGTCGTCAAGTTCGCGTCTGATGGGTGTGCCTCCATGTTCGTTGAGAGGTGCTGTCGTCGGAGGTCAAGCACTCAGGGGCAGCAAACTTTCCTAGGCTGCCGAGAGCGCGCCACGCGCCAGTTCCGCGTCTGCCAACTTCAATGAGCTCCAAAATGATGGAGACGCCTCAACTACTAACCATTTTACCAGCTCCAGGAAACAATTCATGAACAGGCTTTCTCGGCACTTTGCTTTGTCTGTCCCACTTAATTATATGGACTCAAACAGGTTTTCAAAGCTATTAATTAATCTCTGAAGCATTCGCGCCTCCGCCGTCGAAGCTAGCGCACTTCCTCTCCCTACTGCGCCATCCGCGACCTGAGAAAATATGAGCCAGTCTGGCTCCTTAAAACGGAAACAACAGCCTACCATCTCGAGCTTCTTTAGTAAAGCTTCGTCGTCCCCAAGTGGAACTGAAAACAGGAAGACCTCGCTCAATGGGCTTGGGTGCGGGGACAAGAAATCCAAGGAGGATAACAGGCTGGGCCTGAACGGTGGAGAGAGGACGGACTCCGTGGATGAGGATGAGGACGACGATGTGCTTCCGTCACGAAAGAGAATCAAGAGCAGACAGGCTTCGATTGAGAGAAGCGGAGCACTGAGTTCAACTTCCCCGGTACACGAGAGCAAGTTTCTGCAGAGTTCACAGAAGTCAGTGCCGAGCTCATCACGAACGGAACAGTTTCGATTTCGCAGTTCGCCGGTACAAGCTCTAGCAGACAAAGATGCGGAACCCGCGAAATTGGAAGATGCAAAGGAACTCAGAAGAAGGGAAGATTTACATCGGAAATTCGTTAGGAGACTGGGTGGTCCGGATTGTCTCCCATCGTTCAACCATAAACCGAGTCCGAATGCAGCAGTGGCTGAAGAAGAGGAGGGCGGGGAAGAAGCTTTGGACGAGGAAGACCCTCCTCCACCTCCGACGAAAGGCCGAGGAGTAAAGAAAGCGACTTCTACGAAGTTGACGCCATTGGAAAAGCAGGTTATTGACATCAAGAACAATCACAAGGATACGCTGCTTGTCGTGGAGGTTGGGTATAAATTTCGCTTTTTTGGCGAGGATGCGAGGATCGCAGCGAAGGAGCTGAGTATTGTGTGCATACCCGGGAAAATGAGATTTGATGAGCGTAAGTTTCTGCTTACCAGTTGTTTACGTGCGCTTCAGACGAAAGAGGATGTACTAATCTCCTCTTAATAAGATCCTTCCGAAGCTCATTTGAACCGATTCGCATCCGCTAGTATTCCCGTTCACAGATTACATGTCCATGTGAAGCGGCTTGTTAGGGCAGGGCATAAGGTTGGCGTCGTTAGGCAGCTTGAGACTGCTGCTTTGAAGGCTGCGGGTGATAACCGAAACGCACCCTTTGAAAGAAAACTCACGAATCTCTACACCAAGGGAACCTATATTGATGATACAGAGGAGCTCGAAGGCTTGAACGCTCCCGGAGCCAACAATGCAGCTCCAGCTACTGGCTACTTACTTTGCATGACAGAAAGCAATGCGAAAGGCTGGGGCAACAATGAGAAGGTCCAAGTTGGTATTGTGGCTGTCCAACCTGCTACCGGGAATATCATCCACGACAGCTTTGAAGACGGATTTATGCGCACTGAAATTGAAACCAGGCTTTTACACATAGCGCCCTGCGAATTTCTCTTAGTCGGAAACGTCACGAAAGCGACGGATAAACTTGTGCAGCATTTAAGTGGGAGTAAGATGAATGTTTTTGGGGATAAAGTACGAGTCGAGCGAGTTTCAAAACCCAAAACTGCAGGTGCTGAATCGCATAATCATGTGTCGAGTTTCTATGCCGGGAGGATGAAGGCGACGGGCATAACCCATGATGAGAGGGCGAGCACCCTGTTAGAGAAGGTCTTGAGTCTTCCAGAGGATGTCACCATCTGTCTCTCCGCTATGATCAAACACTTAACCGAATACAAACTGGAAAATGTGTTTGATCTCACGAAGTATTTCCAGTCATTCTCCGCAAGGTCCCACATGCTCTTGAACGGCAATACATTAACCAACCTAGAAATCTACCATAACCAAACAGATCATACTTCCAAAGGGAGCCTGTTCTGGAGTCTCGATCGTACTAAAACAAAGTTTGGGCAACGATTGCTGCGGAAATGGGTGGGGAGGCCGTTACTGGATAAAAAAGAACTTGAAGATAGAGTCACAGCTGTTACGGAGCTGAAGGATTCTGATTCAACTCCCAGAGTTGGCCGATTAAAGACCCTTTTGTCTAAAGTTAAAACAGATTTGGAGAAGAACCTTCTCCGGATATACTATGGAAAAGTAAGTCGAACCATCCACATTGCACCTTCAACTGCTGATTTCGTGCTAGTGTACTCGACCAGAGCTTCTCACGGTACTCCATACGTTGCAATTGATAGCAACGGAATTTGCACACATAAAGTCGCCGGCAGATGCTGGTTTCACATCATCAACAATCAACGAAGCTATCGCAACATTGCCGGTTGTTCTGGACGATGTGAACTCATACCTAAACAAAATCAACTTGCATGCTGCGAAGACCGATGATAAATTTACCTTTTTCCAGGAATTGGAGGAAACCGACGAGATTACCGAGCAGAAGCTTGGTATAGGGAGCGTGGAGCATGAGCTGGAGGAATATCGCACTGCAGCCGCAGAGATACTGGGTAAAAAGAAAGTACACTACTCTACAACCGCCGGGATTGAGTATCTGATCGAGGTGGAAAATTCGTCTTACCAATTAAAGAAAATTCCGGCTTCATGGCGCAAGATCAGTGGCACGAAGAAAGTCTCCCGTTTTCATCCGCCGGAAGTAGTTAGCCTGATGCGACAGCGGGACCAGCACAAGGAGGCGCTTGCAGCCGCCTGTGATAAGGCTTTTATCAGCCTTCTGGCGGATATTTCCTCCAAATACCAACCTTTCCGTGATTGTATTCAGGCTCTAGCAACCCTTGATTGCCTCATGTCTCTAGCAGCTATAGCTGCCCAACCTGGGTATTCGCGGCCCACATATACGGACGAAACCCGAATTAGTGTACGCGAAGGGCGGCATCCCATGGTGGAACAACTTCTCCTGGATGCCTATGTCCCAAATGACATTGAGTTAAGCACCAATGAAACACGTGCCTTGCTTATCACAGGCCCTAATATGGGTGGGAAATCCAGCTACGTACGGCAAGTAGCCCTGATAGCTATCATGGGCCAGATAGGTTCCTATGTACCAGCAGAATCGGCAACACTTGGAATGCTTGATGCAGTATATACCCGTATGGGGGCTTTCGATAATATGCTTGCCGGGGAATCGACATTTATGGTTGAACTCTCTGAGACCTCGGATATACTCAAACAAGCTACTCCAAGATCTCTCGTGATCCTCGACGAATTGGGTCGTGGTACATCTACTCACGACGGCGTGGCCATTGCCCAGGCCGTATTAGATTACATGGTCCGGAATATTCGCAGCCTTACGCTATTCATCACTCATTATCAAAATCTGAGCAGCTTGGCACGTACATATCCGAATGGTGAGCTACGAAATGTACACATGAAATTCACTGAAGCCGGCAACGATGGACAGGATATCACATTCCTATACGAAGTCGGAGAAGGTGTGGCGCATCGGTCGTACGGGTTGAATGTCGCACGGTTGGCGAACGTACCATCATCCGTGATAGACGTGGCGCGCACCAAGTCGGCAGAGCTAGAGGAGAGGATCAAACGGAAGAAATTAGCGGGGATTGCTAAAGGGATAACCAAAGTTCTGGAGGGAGACAAGGGTGAAACAGGGCTGATGGGTAGGTTGCTAAATGAGGTCGAACAATTATGATTTGACCATTTGGGAGGTGCTTATTTGAGCATATTGGATACCCATGTACCCGACGTTCAGGCAGGCTTTTGGCGAGTTTACATCCGGAGCCGATGTTGCCAACGAAACGTATAACATAAAAATGGATTCACTCGATGAATTATGGGAAATGAAGAGGATCCGCAATCGATTGTGTTTTGGACGGAGAATAGTAGATCGTACGCTGAAACACATCGTGAAATAAGCCACCATCGAGGCTAGATATCTCCCCACCATGATCTTTCGGCCTTGTGTTTTCAACACGATACGTTGCTCCATCCACAAAACCTCTCTGTTCAAGCTATCCTGGATTTTTACCCCTCCGATCTCCCTTGATTCAAGCCATGGAGTCGGGGAATGGAAAACGAGAACGAGTCGATCGTGCGGATCTTGCGATTTCCCGCCCGGTAGTAAGAGCCGTATTGATTCGAAGCAAAGGAAAATCTACCACGCAAACCCCGCTACTCCTCCCACTTTTCCCCATTTATCTCAGCCTGCGAGCTTCTCTCTCGGATTCGAGTAGGCAAAGGATGTCGTTAACTCTGACTGTTGAATTTTAAAAAGCGGCTGATTAGTATCGATGTGCATACTTGCTTCGGGCTTTGCTACTTGCGATACACGGTCTAAAACGCGTATAACAAGAGCGTTTATCACATACCTGGGCCCTTGACGTTGCGGATAATGCTTCGGTGGGAGTCGTCCATGAATTCGACGCGGACCTGGGTGACACCTCCGCGGGAGCCTGTTCAAGCAATATGCATCAGCCATCCGTTCCAAATTCCCATATCACGCTATTTTCTCGAATCTTCTCTCATGAACACGGAGTATTTGCGCGATTTCGAATTGTATCGTTGTTCCCTTCTTCGGCGAGAGGGGAGCGGGTAGAACGTACCAGTGCGACCGAGGACGCTGGTCACCTTAGCGTACTTGATAGGAACCTTGCCGGCGGCATCCATATTGACTGATTGATGGAAATTCGTCTAAGAAGACTCGACTGGTGGAGAGGATGGAATCAGCGGCGGGCGGAGCGTGTGAATTGTCGTCGACGAGGTTGACTTGGTTTCCCGGCCGCTTTTTTGGTGGTTGAGGAGGGTTGTTGTGGGGAGTAATTTCTGCCGAGGGAAGCTCGCCGGAGGGGAAGTTTACGCGACATCCAGAAACTGCGCTTAGCCTAAATTGAACGGGCGTGCCCTAGCCCTAGAAAGTCGCCGAATGAGGAATGGAGCTTCCTGTCGCATCTGAAAATCGCAGCTCAACATAAAATCCACCTCCGGTGCAACAAGCATCGATGACTCAATTGGCCAAGATGGGACGTTCTTTCGTTGAACCGAGGGGAATCGCGATTATCTTTGTTCCATGGTATATTGATGGTAGTTAATTGACCACTTATTCACCATTCCACGTGCTGGCATTTGCGACCTCTGCTTCGCTGGCGGGGGGGTTTGATAAGGCGGCGGGGAACCAAAGATTGATAACGGAGTCATAATCTCAGAGCTTCTTCAATCCACTGCATAAAAAACTCATGACGGGACCATCCTCCTCAAGAATTGTTTATACATTTTAGACTAAGGCATTTTCCGAAATCTAAGCCCTATTTAGAAATTTTCTAGATATTGCGGAACTGCGTTGGCTCCTTGAAGCTTCTCACATTTTTAACCAGCGGTGGTTGGATCACTCCATTGAGCAGGCCTGAAGCCGTAAGGGTATAGCCGCTCCAAACACATCCTCTAGATATGGATTTAGTCAATCAGTGAGTCGCATTCACCGGCGCCTTGCCATCGCACTCATCTTTGGGCAGACGCTGATCTTATATCAAGTCTTGAAGGGCGATTACTATTCGCAATCCCTAAAAGCAAGCCACCTTCTCCTAGAACTTGGATTTTCTCTCTCCCATTATTCCACTGTTATAAGGGAGAGAGCCGACCATACTAACCCCGTTTTGCTTACGGTTTGCTAACGCTTTTGAGCAGAGGGACGTCTGCAACAAGCGGCGCTTGACCTCCTTGCCGGCTGCGATATTCAATTCCGTCGCGAATCACGCCTCGATATTGCTCTAGTGAAGAATCTCGACCTTGCCCTTATCTTCCTTCCCGCAGCCGATATTCCCACATTCGTCGGAGATGGATGCGTAGACCTTGGTATCACCGGCCGGGATCAAGTTGCGGAACATAATACTCGCCTTCTACCTGGAGAGCAATCTGGCGTTGAAGAGATTCTCGATCTTGGATTTGGTGGCTGCAAGCTTCAGGTTCAGGTCCCCGCGAAAGGCGAGATACAAGAGGCTAGCCAGCTCGTGGGAAAGAATGTGGTTACAAGCTTTACTGGCTTAGCGGAAGACTACTTTGCGCGCCTGGAGAATGCCGGAAGGAAAGAAGATGGCCGATGGGATCTGAAGACTAAGATAAAATATGTTGGAGGGAGCGTGGAGGCAGCATGTGCACTAGGTGTCGCCGACGGAATTGTTGATTTGGTTGGTAAGCGCGCTCGATGTCGGCTGCTATTGAATTATGAGATCTCACTTACAGGTTTCTAGAGTCCGGTGAAACCATGAAAGCTGCTGGCTTAAAAGCCATCGATACTGTCGTCGATAGCACCGCCGTGCTCGTAAAATCTCGCAAGACTCGTAACCCGCTGGTCGAGCTCATCACCTCCAGAATCCAAGGAGTAATCAGTATGTTTTCAACTGCGTTATTATCATGGCGCTTGATATTGTTCTCTAACAATTTTGATGTAGCCGCCAAAAAGTACGTTCTCTGCCAATACAATATCCCCCGCGACCTCTTGGTCCAAGCAGCGAAGATCACACCAGGCAAACGCGCCCCGACCGTAACGGCACTCGAGGAAAACGGCTGGGTTGCCATCAGCTCCATGGTGGAGAAAAAGCTGGTAGCTACTGTTATGGATGAGTTGTCTAGGGTGGGCGCGACGGATATACTTGTGTTGGATATCGCAAACTCCAGAACAAAGTGAATCTAGTTGTGAGCCGAAATTTAGTCCTTCTCATCCTTTATCTTGACGTCGAGAACGAATTTCTATCATGTCATACTATAAATAATACCTGCACACAAGTACTGCTCCATATTTTTCTCTGATTGCAAAGCCGGAATTTCTCCCCCCTATTTCGCTAGGCATTGGGCAATCAAAAACAGCCAATTAGACATTCTTATCATATAGCAAGGTGTTACACTGTAACTAGCTATCGGCGACTACTTTAAAATCATCATGGATAAAGAATTCACAGAGCTAGGAGACATCTACTCCGTACAGCCCACTGGCATCAGTCCCAATGATAAATGTTGGATGCGATACCTTATTGGCTCGTCCTTGTGGAGTGCAGGCGCTATTTGCAGTCCGAAATGTACATAAAAATCCCGAAGAGCCTTGGTATGTATGCACTATTCAAGCCCAAATTTCGGTAGCCTATGGATACTCAGTATCAACCATCAACACTGGGATTTTGAGGCTTGAAGCCCAAAATAGCAATATATTACGCGCGCGGATAAAATTCTGAGATTCAGGGAAAGTTCAAGTTCAGATCAGTACGGAGTAGCCAGTTAACTTACTACCTAGTTTAGTACCAACCAATCAATATTTGAAAATGTCTGTTATGATATGCTCATCCTCTGTGCGGGAGGGCGAAGTTTTTCCGCAGAACGTATGAGGCGTAGTTAGCAAGCGCCAGCTTGTTATAGGTTATTATTTGATATGGCAATGAGATCTGTGAATTTATGGGCGCGAAAGCAACATCCCCATCACCTCTATATATTATCTATACTGCTGCACCGTCCTCACAAACTACTTTCTCATCTCTTGCTCATAGCCCTTAGTTACTCGTCAAGGTGTATTTCCGACTAGGCCGACGACGCTGTTGATATACGTTTGATTAAGCACCGCCATACAGAAGTAAGAATAATCTTTAACTAGTCCAGTTAAAGAGACCTTTGGATGTGTACGCCTTTCGATTTTCTAACCGCAAACATTCGAGTATTTTAGGGGCTTGGTACTGCAACACCTCCTGATCTCGACGACGACGACGACGACGGAGATGGTTTCCCACAAGAAGCGACTGTACGTCGCCCTCTATCCCAGTGGTGTTGTCGATAATGAGGAGCGAAGGTGAGCACCGTCTATCATTCGTAACTTTGCATAAAGGCTTATACACCTATAAGGTATCACTGGGGATTCCTGATGGGACCAAAAGAAGAGGCAAAAAATGAAGTGCCAGGCATGCGTTTTCACGTTAAAAACGCTCCAGGTACAGAATGGATATACGAGGAAGTGCGCCTGGCAAATGTCCGGTCCACAATCAACCTACTTGCACGGATTGTCGTTGCGAAGGTTGAGGATGAGGAACGCCTGAAGAACATCCTCCGAAGCGTTCCTGTTGTCCAAAACGATCCCGATTGGAGGTGTCGTTCATGGGTCGCGAGCGCTTTGACCGAGCTAGTACGCGATGGTAAAGCTGTTGGAACTTCGAATCTGGACTGGCAGAAGATTGAAGCGCATGGCAGACAATATGTGGGGCAAAAAACGGCTGGCGGTCGTTATGAGGATCCGAATACGTTGCTTCTCCCAAAGCCCACCTGGGATTTAATTGAGAACAAGGAGACCGTGGCTTAGAAAGGATCGTGATGATCGTTGACGTTTTGGCTGCTCTAAGCTTTCCTTCGTACACATTTTGCGCAGCCAGGTGTATGAAGATAACAGATATATCTTTCAATTCTTGAGGCTTTCACCATTCTCCCCAGTATTTGTGCCGAGTCACTTCCATTTTAAACTCGTTGGGCGTCGGGTCAATAAATTTGTCAAGTTCCCTCTGCCAGCCCGCCTTTGTAATATTGCCGAACCATGCAGACGTATACTCCCAATAATGGGGATACCATCCCGCGAACTCCCAGTCAATGATGCCCACGACTTTTCCTTCCCGGACAAGGATATTAAACGGATTCAAATCGCAGTGAGTGAAAACGGGTGGTGGCCACGGTCCATCTTGCTGAGCAACCATTTTTTCGATATCTTCCCAGTCTTGATCACTGGAAGTACCTTTGTCTTTCTTTGAAGGCTGAAAATCCTCCCTCAGCCATACGTGAAATTCCTGAATGGTTTTGAACGGTCCGAATCGTGCCTTGGGGCGGGGGATGCGCGCATCGCATAGAGACCCGCCAACGCAGCTTTGCACTCCAGTGCCTGGAGGCGGTATAAGGGCCCGCAATTCCTGGACCATGGTTTTTAGCTGATCAAACATTTTTTGTCGAGACTCTTCAGAGAGCTTCTTCCATGCCCTTGGAATCTCGTCTCCCCGAATCCTTTCCATGACGATATATGCACGGTTTTTCCGAACAAACGAGCAGTAAACTTTGGGTACAGGAATAGATGTGTTTTCGGAAACAAATTTCATTGTCGCCGCTTCTGTTAGATGTACGAAAGGGCCTGTTTTGACAATTTTATGTCTAGAAATGGGTATGCAGACGCCATTCCATGAGCGGAATCTGGCCGTAGTGTTGAGAGCGAGGAGCGTCAAGAAACGACGAACGAAAGTGTTATTAATAGCCAGATGTTCAGTGCCTTCATGGGTGGTTTCCATTTCGATATGTGGAAACTGTGCGGCTGGCATGATTAGAGCCTTTCTAGACGATTTTGGCACAAAGTAGATCAATACGCCAAACTGGAGGACCCAAATCTGTAGAATATAAAAGGTTGGAGAATCAGAGTTACCGACCACAGATTAACTATTCACAAAGTTCCTTGACCTGTTCGGACTTCAGAGAAACAGATATGGCTGTGGTTGGCTTCTCACCTAACTAACAAGACAGGTGTTCATTGGGTGGTAGATTATGTTATTCTCAGCTTCAACTTAGTTACATTCGATCTGGACCTGGTTGCCCAGTCTGAGCGTGCCCTCAATTACGCTCATGCAAAGGGTCTAGTCTACTAGATATAGCTTGGATGAGCAGCAGCAAATAAGAGATTCGATGCATTGGCGTATGAAATGATTAGAGCGACTGCTCATTGTTTTGGCCTGAAATAAAACCACCGGCTGGCCCAAAGCCTCCTATCGAGCTCACCGACGTCGGGCTCAGAAACACTCACCAAACCAAACACCACAGCCTCGACTCCCGTTAGGGAGGTGTTTAAGCTCCTGCTTAGCCATGATGTTTTCCCACCAACTACGGGTACCGCAAAGCCAACCATTGGAACCTGCAACACTTCTTTTGTGCGAGAGTCTCCGGTTCAACACTCATCCCTCCATTCTCGAGCGAATCACCTCTGGGCTCTGGACGACGCATCTTCTCTTAAGCTGCCGATGTCGTTTGCGGCACAGGGTGCCGGCTGATTGATATTGTACGGGAACTCCCTGATACACAGCTTGATGGGCTGGGAGGCAACCTCACATTCACCCCTGACCAACACTACCTACCCCGCAACATCTTTCTCCACAGATGGGACGTTATTGATCTGGCTGGGAAGTACAATCCTCTCCCTGTGCGCTGGCTGGCGCTGAGGCTCGCAAGCAAAGACCCCAAGCTTTGATTTGGAGTCTACCAGCTACTTTCGCCCTGTGGGTACTTACAGTGGGAAGAATCGGATTACCAAAACATGCATGTACCCAAGAATGATCTTGCATTGAAGACACCCGCTCTCTTAGCGATTATCGAATTCTCGTACTCGGATGGGCTTCACAACTAGACGCGAACTCTTCCCCTTATTCTGCGATCTTCTGCCATTCCGAGGGCCTTCGACCAAGGCCACGGGGCCTCTTTAACTAAGACTAACTAGCTACCAGCTGGCTTGACTAATAAAGCAAGCAACGGTATCAATATAGGTAGTTCGTAATTCCTACTCTACCAAACTTCTCGACTGAGAGAATAACCCACTCCGCGCCTTGTTAAAGCAGGGACGGGGGACAAGAGGACTGATTTGTGAGACAAGGCTAACAAATTGCGCCTGACTATCCGCATCCCCGGATTTTTGCAACTTCAAGTGTCGCGCAACCCGTACGATTAGCGACAAACATACGGGGTCCTGATACGGCTCGATATAAGCAACCAAGCCCAGTTTACCGCCTAAGCGAAAGCTGATTCTTCTCTGTGACTGACCCTCTTGTTCTTTTGACGACTTGGGTAACATGAAGTACAGATACCGACTTTTAGCGGCAGCAATGTCAATTAACTTTCGTTACTTATTCTTCTTCTTCTTCTCAAAAGCTCCCGACTGATACATGACAGGCTAGGAATCCGTCACGACAAGTTGCATCTACCACGGCACCCGCATCTACCAATTACAGGGACAGAACAGAGGAAAAGTTTAACTTTGGATTGTTATAACCGCCTAAACGCCCTCCTAACATAAATATAGTAGTGAAAAGACTCCATGACGTCCCAATCACACTCCAAGTGAGTTCCTATCAGTGCGTGTACCGAAAGCGTAAGGAACAGATTTGCTAACCCCTCGAATCTAGCGGAAGATTATCGGAAACCACATTTAACCGTCGTCTATAGTTATTATTAGAATTATCATGACAACAGCGCTGCTGTGGTTACACACCTAATCGAAAGATGTCGAGACATTGTGATACGCGATTAGACGAATTCTATCTACTGTCGGCCGAAACTGCACAAATAACAGTTATTGGATTGCCCAAAACTGGTGATTTTAATTCCACTGACGATTATAATACGATGAAACTGGCGTTGGAAATACGCTGGACCTTGATTAGACCTGGCATAACGGAATTAAGTTTTAAGGGATATCTCTTACTGGATCGAAATCAACACGGTATCAACCGATGGATATAAAAAAGATGCCCACCCGCCCACCCCCTATTTAGTCCTGCCCAAAGTTAGTAGGTTAGTATCACTCGAAAATTCTCAGAAGGGTATCTGAAACGACGTCGGATCACTCGATTAAACGGATGCTGCATGGAGGTATATGCCCCTTTCTATCAACCGTGTGCGATACTAAAGGCATTTTTTTAGTGAAGAAATTGGTTGAGCCAGGCGTGCCAAAGCATATACCTGGTTAGCTCGATGCTGTGACGTTGTCTACTCAACGTTCCATTTCCGATACATGCTATAACGTGTCAGTTAAAACACCATTAGGGAGAACTTTATGTCTTACCGGGTCGATTGCGATTCAATGCGAGGTCTCGTGGATAAGGGCACTTGCTACAGTCTGTTAGAACTAAGGGTAGGGGCCATACTTACTTACCCTAGGTTAGCTTGACGTGGGGACAAATTTCACATCGCACTCCCTGTCTAATCGGTGCCACACCTCGTTAGCTGCTATACCAAAACGCCAACATTGTGACTTACCGGTTCGATTTCAATGCGAGGCTTTAGGAACAACAGCGCTTGCTACAGTCTGTCAGAACGAGTGGGAGATTACTACCTACCGAATGCGTTGGGTGCGGGGCGACATCCTATTTAGTCCCCTTTCTAATCAATGTTATATTTTGTCAGTTTTCGCCCGAGGGAAGAAAACATTATAACTTACCGGTTCGATTATATGGGAGCCCTTTTCGTCTCTACGGCCTTTGCGGATGTCGGCGCTTGCTACGGCCTGTTAGCACAGAAGGGTGTTGAAATGGTTTGACGGAGGGTTGGTGAATATTCGTGTTCTGCTAGTTGCTCTGCTGGAAGTTGACAAGCATTGACTTACCGGATCGATTCGACTCGGACTCTTTTAATCTTCTCGACGGGATATTTCGGGCAAATCTCTGGTGCCGCGTGCACATTCTCTCTACCACTCAGTAAATAATATGTTTTTCTAGAAGTTGACAAGCAGTGACTTACCGGATCGATTCGACTCGGACTCTTTTAATCCTTTTCGACGGGATAATTTGGGCAAATTTCTGGTGCCGCGTGCACATTCTCTCTGCCATTCCATAAAGGAAAAAAATGGTTGGGGCGTGTTGCAAGGCGGAGGGGAGAGGTGCCAAGAAGGCTTCTGATTATACCCACGGCTAGGAGACTGATGAGAGGCATTATATACCGGGAACGGAGTGTTCGCACGAAAACCCTACCTCCCGAATAGAGCCCTTAAAACAACTAATGCCGAGAGACGGATTTAGGACGGATACATAGGTTCTTGCCATGCACCCGGAACATAAGCCCGTGCCTTTAATCTTTGACGCAAACTGTCCCGCC